CTCCCTCTCACCTATGCGGTCCCTGGCGGTGCCCGCGCCCGGCCGGACCGGGTCCAAAGAGAATGCGTAATGCTGCAGGGCTGTGCCGCGCCGCTGGCTGCGCTGTCCCTTTCGCCACTCCCCCCCGCATGCCGGCACTGCGCAGCGATCAGCCAGGCGCCTCGAGTAATTCTTGGTCGTCAGAAGCTCTCTAGCCTCTGCTTCCCCCCTGAGCGGTAGGCATCCATGACTCGTCGCACTTCAGAGGAGAGCGTGGGGGTCGGGGGCCACCTCTGGCGCCTAATCACAAGGCTGACCCTCGCAGCAGGTCATCGGGGAGACTTTTACTTACAACATCAGCGTCATGGTGATGATGAAAAGAACGAACCGTTGGAATCACTTGACGCGGCAGCTCGGAAAAGGAAGGCAGTAAATGCTGAAGAAATTGAAAACATTCAACAATCCAGACACATTATTTAGTTTACTTGTTGTTGTTTTTTTAAGAGGGTAGTTGACGGGGTAGTTCATTACTTGCTCCTGCGACGTTGCGCGCCCCCTTATCTCCTTGGCAGCCCTTCCTCCGCTTATCTCAACTTTCACATCGCAAGGCGGTATTCTCGGCCCGCCGTCGATTCCAAACACTGACCGGGAAGAGGTGGGCCCGTCCGACCTTCCTCCCGCCGGCGCGCCCGCTTTTCAAAAGCACGGCAGCACGGCATTATTCTTTCCAAACTCCTTTATGACAAAAGACAACTAATTTTCTTAAGTTTATTCCGTAAGTTTGGAGAAAGTTGTGGTGCAACGATTGATAAGGCTCTTTTATTCGCATTCCTCCACATTTTCTAAGAGATTCAGTTCTTTCAAAAAGATAAATAAAGAATGATAGATGAGGGGACATTTGCAAAAGCAGTTGGCTTCATAGTGTCGGCGACAAAAGTGACGAATTTGTTATTATGAAGAGGCTGATTTTTGAACCAAAAATTAAAGTGAGCCGATGCGTTTGTGTTGCAGGTGGTCACAAGGGCTGCTGTTCCATCAGGCAGTAGTGGACGGGTGCCGGGCAGCCATCCTCCTGCCGCTCGGCATCTCCATCTACTACTGCCAGCCGGTACAGAAGTGCTCGCTCGTCGAGACGGCGTTCCTGCTGCTCGTCACCGTCTCCACAGTCAACATGCTCACCACCGTGCTCAACGACTCGCCCGTATTCCCCAACGACGAGGAGGATGAGACCGACCTCACGGCGCCGCTGCTCATGGACTCGCCACAGGTGCGACGATGAACAAGTAGTTACAATAGATGTCACCCCAACTTCACTCTTAAATTCCTTCAAAGCAGCGATTTGCAGAATTGCAAAGGATTTTAGATCCTTTGTAACAACGACTTACTTTTGTTAGCAATCACAGAGCGATGCTTAGCAATTGCGAAGCAACGCCATCAATGATCTACATATTGGAAAGCATCGCTTTTGTCAAAGAATGCTTCATAGTTACAAAGGATCTCAATCCTTCGCAATTCTGCATAGCCTTGAGAAATTCAAGAGTTTTAGGTAAAATCTGACTTCTCGTTTGCCTGCAACGAATCCAAAATATGTCTACACCTTTTTACCGACCTGGTTCTGCTTGCGCATGCAGTGCGTGCTGTTCGGCGTCTTCATGATCTGGTTCGCGTCCATCACCATTAACCTGGGCCCCACGTTCCTGAGCGGCGCCCTGGCGGCCAACTCGGAGGCGGGGCACAACGCGCCGTCCTGCCCGCTGGTGCACGGGCCGCTGCGGCACTACGTCCTCAACCTCCTCTGGATCATCATCAACGTCATCTGCGTCGGGCTCACGCTCTTCCACCTGCACAAGGTACATAGCGATCGGGAAGGGGATATTTACATGATTATGCGAATATTGACAGCGCTATACACACCCCCGTCAGTCCACGCGTCCCACGAGGGGTATCGCGTTGGGGGTGCTAAAGGCACCTTCATGAAGATGTTGAGGGTGGGAGGACTCTGTCAAAATAATCGAACGCGCGTTATTTTTCTCTATTGTTTTGGGGCTTATTTTCAAATAGATCCAAATGTGACAAAACATGTACAAGCACATTTATCAACCACTACCGTCAGCAGTCAACTGCAACGCTCTCTCTGTTCTAAAAACAAGTGGTCCTCTTCTGCTCGCAGCTGCACCGAGACCTGACCAAGGCCAACGTCGAGGCAGTTCGGGTGGCGGGCCTCGTCACCACCCTGGTCAGCGTCACGGGAGGCGGCGGCGGCCTCGGCGGCCTCAGCGGCCCCACCAGCCAGGGCGGCCCTCCGCGGGTACGTCATCATCCATCAGCAGCGGTGCTCCGCCGCGACCACCCCGCCGACCAGAGAGGCCCGCACCGCATCCAGCCTCCCCCACCGCGCCGCCGAGGGGGCAGCCCGGCCCCGGTCCAGCCAGATGCTAAAGTGGCCCCCACAACTTTTAAGCACCCAAACTTGGCTCATTTTCTTTACGCGTCATCGTGTCACCCTCGGCCCCGCCCACTGTGCCGGACCAGGCGCCATGACCGGCCGCCGTCGGGTCCGTCAGCGGGGCGGCGGCAGGCGGGGGCGGCGGCCGTAGGCGGGCGGCACCAGGGCGAGATATCAGACACCGAACAGCCTCCAATCAGAGCACCGGGCCGGGCCCGGACGGAGGCCTAGCACAGCCCAGAGAGAGGGCAGGGCTCTCTATATTGAAAGACGTCGGGGGAACTTTCTTTACGCCGGTCGAGTCAAAGTCGATGGCAGCAGCGCCTGGGAAGGGCGTCATTTCAACTTCCAAAATGCCCTTTGGGCGCCCAAAAAAGAGAAGGAGAAAAAGGGAAACGCGATTGAACTACCTCTGGCCTCCAATCACTAACCCACGACAAAGATATTTACACCAGTGTTGTTCGCGTCCCGCAATTTTTCCTATCGCTGTCAAGTTTACAAAATTCTTCGCGAATAAATCGCAGCTTTGTCTAAAAATTAATTACGTGTTGCCTTACCATACAATTACGCCAGCCGAAAACTAGGTTACGTGCGGGCGACTTGGTTTTGCCCCTCAGAGGAGACCGTCTCTGCAAGGCGGAAAAAAGGGCCCGGGGGGGGGGGGGGGCAAAGGGATCCAACCGGGACGGGTTCAAGAGGCAATATCCTCCGTCTGTTTTGTTTCCATTATTGCATCTCTGCGGTGGCGCGCTCCTCCGCCTCCGCGGCGACCTGCGCTGTGCGCTGCGGGCCGCGGACCGCTCCGACACGCCGCCGGAGGGGAGGACCCAGCAGGGGATGCTGAGCGGGATGCTGAGCTTGTGTCCGTCTGTCCGCAGCCGGGCGGCGCGCTGGACGAGCACCGCCGCATGCGCAACTACCTCAAGCGCATGGAGCGCGAGGGCGTGCAGCGCGTCAAGATGTTCCTCGTCATCACCGGCGCCTACGTCCTCTTCTGGGGGCCGCTCTTCTTCGTCACGCTCGTGCACCACCCGCTCATCGTCAGCCCCATGGGCTATGAGGTGAGCCGAGCCCAGGGGGGAATCGATATTACGGTGAATACGCCGAGAGACATGTTTCGTTGCAGCCATCAAAAATTGTTCGATCAGTTGGACTAGTCAGGGCAATCAAAATTTTAGTCGCAGCAACTAAACATTTGGTTGCAGCAACCAAAATTTCGGAGAACCCAAACCGGGCTGATCGAACAAAATTTGGTCGTGGGTATCAACATTCGGATGGCTGCAACGAAACATTTCTCTCAGTGTGCAAACCTCACGCACAATCGTTAAAGTCAAACATAACAGTGGTTCACAGCCCGAAATGGGGGGGAGTGTAAATTTAAGACAAACCGCGCGCATCGCTTTCAATGATGACGTCATTAGTGAAAGGGTCGAGGCCGTGATGGGAAAACCGCATCGATAGAGCTGTGACGCTAAGTAAATCCAAGAGGGTCATCAGCCGCGCCGCCGTGTGCCTGTCGCCGTGACCCCGATCCATCTCCTGATGGGCTGTTTGGCCGCGGCCCGCCTTGAGCGGAATAATCTCCCGAGTAGT